GCCCGATTCATAACAGTAACAAAATGACAGTGATGAAGTAGCAACGAAAATAATTTTATGGCTGGAGGGTCACCACCACATGAGTTGTATGAAAGGGTCGTGGCCTGAGGGCGGTCGAGGACCACTGCTCTAAGGATATGAGGTGCGGCTGCACATGCATCTGTTCCCGTCCTGCGACCCACAACTTAGAGTGTGGGTGTTATAGGAAAAAGCTCCTCGGGGTGGCCAAACGACGGGTGGTGGGACCCGGGAGAAACTCTGTGCCTTGGTTTCCCCAGCTGTAAATTCTGGATTTCCAACAGCATCTACCTCTCCGGATTTCGGGGGAGATTCACTGTGGACTGAGAGGAGTGGCCGGCAGGTTCTAAGAACAGCCAGCATCCCCCTGCGACCCCGGTGTGAGAAGCTCCTTCCAGGGCAGGGTCCCAGCAAGTAAGACAGCCCCGGAGGCTCCCGCCTCTTCCCTGCAGTGCAGCCTTGGTTGGGCCAAGAGCTGGGAGCTCTAGATAAGGAAGGGGATGGGGCACAGCTGTCTTGGGGACACTTGTCCCACTAGTGCAATTCCCTGAAAGATGACTTCTGGGAAAAACCATCACAGGAAAAAGTCACAGGAAATCATGAAGACCTAAGTATTTATGCGAGCAGCTCCTTCATAGAGGGGTATCTGAAAGCCTTAAACCCATCTGGAACGCAACAAGGGCCACTACGAAGGGGGGCAAGCAGAGAAAGTAGGAGGGGATGCTGCCACACGGCCAGGGAACCGAGGACGCCTCCCGCCACCACCCACAGGCAAGACGCAGAGTGCTAGAACTAGCAGGTTCCTGCTGAGAGCCGGACGGAAGAAAGTACGTGCTAATTCTCCAAAACTGGGTAGAGAAATGGGTCGGTCAAGAGAAGATTAACCCGTGAAGACAGATAGAACAAAACTGGCTTGGCTTCTTTCCCCTTCAATTGACCGGCATTGAGAGAAAGTGGAAAAAGAAAATAAAAATGTAATGAAAAGATTTCGACGAAAGACAAGGCATGCAATATTAAAGGGAGACTATAAGAAAACAAGGGAGAAGGACTTGGGCATCTGACAGCTGACCGCGTGAACCACTCTGAGGTCTCCTGAGAGAGTAGGGTGGGGTACGGGGAGAAGCCGAATTCCCTTGTCCTGGGAAATGGCTAATGCTCTCGGGGAGCATCACTGCGTGGATGATAGCAGGTGACCGAACTGATTCCTGTGGGAAGGGAAGCAAGTCACTCAGCAACGGAGCTGACCCCATACTGGGAAAGAATGGACAGAGGGGGGCCGAGTGGGAGGTTCATTCTAAAAAACAGAGGTTGAACTCTGCCTAAAGAACAAGTATCTTCTTTATGAAAAGCTTTGTGGTAGATATATAATCGTTTGTCAATTTGAGCATTAAGAGTGTAGGGGTGGAGTCTAGCTTGTCAATCAGATCATAGCCAATGAGACCTCTGTGTGGGCATGGCCTTCTCCTGAGAATTCTGGGAAATCCGGTACTTTCTCCTTGGAGGCGGGAGACAGTTCTCTCTCTGACACTCCCTGGGAGACAGAGCAGCTGACAAGACACATGGACCCACCCTGATGCAGAGACCCCTGCCAGTTCTGAGATGTTTCTAATGCCACTGGATCCAAAGACTTTCTACCCACTGGCCTGTGATCTTCTACATTCCGCATCATTGCATGTGTTTCGTGAGTCTGAAGAGGACTTTACAGATTGGTATCAGACATATGGGCTAATATCAGGCTTATGGACTTGGTCTGGACTGGGCTGGGATGTTTTCTCAAGGTTCAATTGCTCTTGTATATAAATCTCTTTCTTATACGCATATGTGTGTCCCTGGATTTGTTTCTCTAGTCTGCCCAGACTGACACAAGCTTGGTCCCCCTTCTAGGCGAGTTCCAGATCTCCTGAGCGAGAGCAAGTGAGTGAATGAGGGAGGGGAGGAGGGAGGGAGGGAGGAGGAGAGCATTCCTGTTCTCCAGGAGACAAGATACCCAAAGGCAAGAGCCACCAGGGTGACAATCAGAGAGGGGGATGCAGATGAAACAGGGAGATGCCCTGGACAGCGCCAGCTCCTCTGGGACCCCTCCCACACCAAGGAAGGAGAGAGAGCTGAGAGAGGGGAGCCCGGTGTGTCCGTGCCCCCATGAGACAGGGTGGCTGTCTGCAGAGGGCACAAGGGGCCATCTGTACCTGGTCGTATGCATACAGGGCTTGGAAGGCCTTCTCTTCAATGAGCTGTTTCACTTTCTCCATGTCCAGCTCTTCTATCCTGTAGTTGAGGTCCCCCAGCCACAGGATCACGCTAGGCGGACAGAGCACAAGGATGATAACAGGGTTCAGGAGGGACTTTACCCATCCTACCCAGGCTGCTTCTCAGACCAGGACTCCGGGGCTCAGCTTCTGGGGAGCTGGGAGGGGGCAGGGGGGCCATGTGTAGGGAAATGCTTCATCTTACCTTGCCCTTTATAGAAGCCCTGATTACACTGCATGGTCAGCAGTTCAAAACCATCAGCTACTCCTAGAGAGAACGATGGGGCTTTCTACTCCCATAAACAGTGACAGTCTCAGAAACCGACAGGGACAGTTCTACCCTGTCCTATAGAGTCACTATGAGCCGGCACTGACTCGACAATGAGTTGTCGGCTTACATCCCTTTAACCCCATGTCTACCGTGCTGCTTCTCCCATCATGCTGGCCCAAGTTCTTCATCAACAGCCTCACGTTCTCCTTGTTTCATTTTTGCATGGTTGGAAAAACAGACTACTGAGATCTAAAAGCAAGCTGTTAATTTATCTCATTCCTGGCTTCCCAGGGCAAAGCAGATCAAGTACTGGGGGTCCTGTGCAATTGCCCGGGGTCCTCAAACCAGAAGCTTCCATGCTCATCCCTGCGTCCAAAGCCCCCTCTCTGCCTGCCTCTGGACACCGAGTCCCTCCGACACTGAACTCCGCCTGCACGGTGGGGTCTGCACCCTCAGCGCTCTCTGTGACCTCTGTTACATTGTACAGCTTTAGGATACCAAGGTGTGCGTGGATTCCCAATGAAGACTGCTTCCAGATGCCGTCAGACCTCCAAAGAAATCCAGTACTGCTCCCTCCAAAGCCAGCAACCCCGATGTTGGAAAATCTGCACAGCAGTACACGTACCTCACAAATAACTGCCCCCACCAGCTAAAAGCAGACAAACTGGCCACAAGCTGCAGAATGGAGGTGCTCAGCGGGAAGATTCGCTACCTGCTGGGCTCCAGGGGATGAAAGCCCCGTGTCAGCCCCAGGTGCCAGTGAGCTGTGGACACTCCCACCCAGCAGGAGGAGGAGCACTGAGCCCAGAAGTGGCACACGTTTCAAGTGGTACCATTAAGCCCGAAATAGGCTCTGAGTTTACAGAACGTAAGAGCCTGTTGCAAAGATAAAGAAAATAAACAAAAATCAGCACAAGATGTCCCAGGCAGCTGCAATGCTAACCTTGGAAAGGTAAATCAGGAGAACAGAGAGGGCAAGCCAGGGGGCGCCGGTAAGCAGTTGATTGTGGGTTCTGCAAAGGACAGACAGGTCGCCTTCTACAAACTCCGTGAGAGGCTGCCTTCCTCAAGCCGCTGGACCGAAACAGACCCAGAGCTCATGAGAGCCAGCTTTGTGTTAGGGACAAATGATGCTTGCGAGAGTCTTGGTCGGATGGCAAAGCCCCCAGGTGGTGGAAATGGGTTTGTGCTGGACCAGGCCTGGTGGTCCCCGTCAGGGAAGCGTCTGACTGCTAACTGCAAGGTCGGTGGTTCAGACCTACCAGCCACTCCATGGAGGAAGATGAGGCTGTCTACTCCAGAAAGATTTAGTCTCAGAAACCCCACACGGGGTTGCTATGAGCCAGAATCTCCTTGGTAGCTGTGGAATAAGAACAGCAACCTAAAGGTTGGCCACTGGAACCCACTCAGAGGCACTCTGAAGAAAGGCCTGGTGATCTGTTTCCGTAGAGACCACGGCCAAGAGAACCCTGGGACCAGTTCTGCTCTGTAACACAGGAGTCGGCACAGTCTCAACCACAGCCAATTTGCTTTTTGCCTGTGGTAAGGACAGGAAACGGAAAATGCCCGAGAGCTACCAGCCACGTGGGAAGGACAGCTGGCAGACACTAGCGCCCCTGCAGGGAGAGGGCACCACCCTGCACCTCAGACAGGGGGCGCGGGCGCCCACACTCACTCGTGCTTGCTGATGGTGAGAGGGGGCAGGCTGGGGTCCACCTGACAGAACTGCATCCGGGAACAAATGTCCCTGTAGTCCTGGTTCCTCCGCTCATACTCCATGGGGTGCGCTGCCAAGTGAGAGTTCACCACGCAGATGCTGGTGTTGTGTAGCCGGAACCGGATGGCCACGCCGCCTTTGTTACCCTGGAAGGAGCACCCGAGACAGAACACGCACTCGCACCCTCCGGGCAGACGTCCGTCAGTAGCTCGAATGTTTGCCTCTCAATTAGAGGGCCGCGTGACCCGCCAGCCAGGGGCAAAGCCGGCTCCGCGTTCGTGGCTACGGAACAGCTGACGTCTCAGCAAACTCCACGCTACCACTCAGTGACGTGCCCATCACGTTGTTCAGCCGTCACCCTTGTCCAGTCCCCAATGACTCCCTCAACCCTAACAGCAGCTCAGTGTCCCCGAAATTTTGTGTCTCCCCCCCCCCACTGCCCCTCCCAGGTAAACACTAAGACACTTGGATCGCTATACATGTGTCTAGTCTAGAAACTTCCTGGCGGTGGGATCACACAGTGTTTGCCCCTCTGTGCTGGGCTTATTTCACTGCCCATGAGGATACACGGTCTGTGTTGCGGCAGGTGGCAGGCTGGTCCCACTCTTTCTATGAAACCACGGACAATAGCCGTGTTCTCCCTTCGCCACGGGAAGCCAAGCCCCTGCAAGAGAGCCTCTAGGCAGGCTGCATAGTCCCAAGAAGAGGAGGCTGTTGCCCACCTGCTCTCAGCATTCTTGCTTTCCCTTGATGACCCGGCACCATCTCTTCACAATCCTCCAGGGGTTAAAGGGGAGGACCCAGGGGAGGCTCCAGTGTTGCACGAACACAACATGCACACCGGCAGGGCAAGTCAGCTGGCGACTGGCCCACACGCTGTTTATTACAACACTCTGTCCAACCTAGCCCTGCTTGAAAGTCCAGTTCATCTTGCAGCACCAGCACCTCAAACGATCCTGCACCATAAGATGTGGGATCAAAGCCTGGGGCCCAAGGCTCTCAGGGCACCGAACCCCCCAGCCAGGTACTCACCATCCTCCCCATGATGCCTGTCCCCACCGTCTCCGCTTCCACTTCCGAGATGTGCGCTGCGTGTTCCTGCCTGACGTACAGCAGCAGCATGATCCCGACCAGCCGGATGAGCTTCACCTGGCCAACAGAGCCGAAGAGCGCCCGATCAGGGGCGGCATGAAGGGAAGTGGCAGAGAGGAAGAAACACCCCAAAGCTGGCAGCGCGTCCTGGGGTCTATCTCCTTCTCGACATGAGGACGTGGGGCTCGACTCACGGAGCGTGTGACGTGATCACCTAGACAGCCCATTGCACTGCCGAGAGCCTGCGTCTTCCCACCCAGATGTAGAACTGAGCAGACCAGGACCGTGAGGACTGGCCCGTGGTCAGGGCGGAGGGCAGTGGGAGTTCCGCGGTGGAACTCTCGTCTTCCATGCAGGAGGTTCCAGTCACAGCCAGTGCACCTCCAACCACAGCCAACCCCGACCTGTCAGCGGATGCTTGTGGGATGCTAGGTGGCTGAGCGGGCTTCAGGGGTACTCCCAGAGTAAAGGAGACTAGGAAGAAAGGCCTGGAGGTCCACTTTGGACAAACAGCTGGTGAAAACCTTAGGGAGCAGCACAGCACCACCACTGATGCCATGACAAAGGGAAAAGTGGGCTTGGAACTCCCCCGCAGGACCCCATAAAGTTACAAGGACCCGAACTTGTCTCTTACCTTTGCGTATTTGGCACTTGGATGAAGACTGTCTGACACGGCTTTAAACCACTCCTCCTCCTTTGGGGTGTCGTGGAAGAAAAAGGCTTCCTTACTCAGATCCAGCTCCTGGAACCTGTTGGAAGCAGCAGCCAGTTAGGGAGTGGAGCTCACGTGGCCCATCTCCAGATTGGTTTAGGGATCTAAGTCCTAACGTTCTAGCTCAATGGCAGGACCCTCCAGAAGTCCCTTCAGGTATGACAAAATAATAATAATTTATGAATTATGAAGGGTTCATGAGGGAGGGGGAGGGGGGAGGGAGCCGGGCAAATGAGCCAATATTAAGGCCTCAAGTAGAAGGCAAATATTTTGAGAATGATGATGGCAACAAATGTACAAATGTGCTCGACACAATGGATGGATGTATGGATTGTGATAAGAATTGTACGAGCCCCCAATAAAAATGACTTAAAAATAAAAAGAAGAAAATCAGACATAAAAACCAAAAAGAAAAAAAAAAAGAAGTTCCTTCAGGAGAGAAGGAAAATATTGATGGCAAAAGAGCTAATACAGGTACGCTCACAAACACCAGCTCATCCCCTCTTCCAGGAAGCAACCTTCACAGCCGGATCCCTGCCCTCAGGTTCACACAAGCACCCAGGGGCACGCTGGGACAGAGTGCTGGCGTGAGTGGCTGCTGTTGGCTCGGCACAGACTCACGATGAGCCTACGTCTGTAACAGAACCACACACTGCCCACTCCGGTGCCATCGCATGCAGGAGCCTTGGTGGCACAGTGGCGATGCAAGGTCACCAGCGGCTCCGAGGGAGAAAGACGGGCTTCCTACTCCTGTGACCAGCTGCCGTCTCGGAAGCCCACAGGGGCAGTTCTACTCTGTGCTGTAGAGTGGCTGAGTGGGCACTGATTTGAGTTTGGGTTTGGGGATTTTTCTTGGGGGGAGGCACCCTCCTGACAGCTCTTGGCATGCTCGAGCCCACTGTGGTGTCCACTCGCTTCACGGAGGCTCCTCTCGTTCTCACTGACCACGCGTGACGTCCTTTCCTGCTGAGACTGTTCTTTCTTCGAGACGGGTCCAAAGTAAGCAGGAGGGAGTCCCGCCACCCACACGCCTAAGGAGCATTCTGGCCGGACTTCCTCCAAAATGGGCTTCCACATTCTTCAAGCAGTCCACGGTCCGTTCGGTATTTTGGGCCCACTCCAGAAATCCCATGTGTTTGCTGTTCCTCCAGCGTCCTTGGGCGTCGTCCAGTTTTGGTGTGTGCGTGTGGTGACAGGAAAGGCCACAGCTTGGGTCAGGCACACCACGGGCATCAAGGCGGCATCTGTGCTTCTTGGCGCGTCAGAGACGGTGTCGCCTGTCGTTTGGCTTCGTAACTAACTGCACGTCACTCCGGTACAGTTTTCCTGTCTTCTGCCTTTCCCAGCAACAGTGCCGGAGACAGAGGTGAGGAACCAGAAGTGTCTGGTGGGGCTCTTTTCTTTTTCTTTTTTTCCCATTAACCTTCCTTCTGTGGCAAAAGATCCGCTTCCTGTGTGACCACCAGAGCGTTGCTGAGTGTGTCCTGAGGGCTCACGAGGCACTGGTTCCAACAGCAGGAGAGACTCAAAATGAAAGCTTAGCGTGCGAATGCCACGCACAGCATGTTTTCAACGGTGCTTTGAAAAACCAGGACTGCGTTTACCGTGGGCCCACTCCAATAACCCCACGTGTTTGCTGTTCTTCCAGTGTGAGAAAGGGCATCAGACAGAGACGCAGCTGCTATCGCCAACATGTTGATGTGGCCGTGCACGCTTAGCCCCATCCCGTCCACCACAGCCATGCGTCCAGGAGGCTGTGCCCCATCCCGTCCACCACAGCCATGCGTCCAGGAGGCTGTGCCCCATCCCGTCCACCACAGCCATACGTCCAGGAGGCTGTGCCCCATCCCGTCCACCACAGCCATGCGTCCAGGAGGCTGTGCCCC